TTGTAGTATTTGGTATATTCACTACTAGACTGGTCATCGTAGTATTTGGTATATTCACTACTAGACTGGTCATTGTAGTATTTGGTATATTCACTACTAGACTGGTCATTATAGTATTTGGTATATTCACTACTAGACTGGTCATTGTAGTATTTGGTATATTCACTACTAGACTGGTCATTATAGTATTTGGTATATTCACTACTAGACTGGTCATTATAGTATTTGGTATATTCACTACTAGACTGGTCATTATAGTATTTGGTATATTCACTACTAGACTGGTCATTGTAGTATTTGGTATATTCACTACTAGACTGGTCATTGTAGTATTTGGTATATTCACTACTAGACTGGTCATTATAGTATTTGGTATATTCACTACTAGACTGGTCATTGTAGTATTTGGTATATTCACTACTAGACTGGTCATTATAGTATTTGGTATATTCACTACTAGACTGGTCATTGTAGTATTTGGTATATTCACTACTAGACTGGTCATTGTAGTATTTGGTATATTCACTACTAGACTGGTCATTATAGTATATGGTATATTCACTACTAGACTGGTCATTGTAGTATTTGGTATATTCACTACTAGACTGGTCATTGTAGTATTTGGTATATTCACTACTAGACTGGTCATCGTAGTATTTGGTATATTCACTACTAGACTGGTCATTATAGTATTTGGTATATTCACTACTAGACTGGTCATTATAGTATTTGGTATATTCACTACTAGACTGGTCATTGTAGTATTTGGTATATTCACTACTAGACTGGTCATTGTAGTATTTGGTATATTCACTACTAGACTGGTCATTGTAGTATTTGGTATATTCACTACTAGACTGGTCATTGTAGTATTTGGTATATTCACTACTAGACTGGTCATTATAGTATTTGGTATATTCACTACTAGACTGGTCATTGTAGTATTTGGTATATTCACTACTAGACTGGTCATTGTAGTATTTGGTATATTCACTACTAGACTGGTCATTGTAGTATTTGGTATATTCACTACTAGACTGGTCATTGTAGTATTTGGTATATTCACTACTAGACTGGTCATTGTAGTATTTGGTATATTCACTACTAGACTGGTCATTGTAGTATTTGGTATATTCACTACTAGACTGGTCATTGTAGTATTTGGTATATTCACTACTAGACTGGTCATTGTAGTATTTGGTATATTCACTACTAGACTGGTCATTATAGTATTTGGTATATTCACTACTAGACTGGTCATTGTAGTATTTGGTATATTCACTACTAGACTGGTCATTGTAGTATTTGGTATATTCACTACTAGACTGGTCATTGTAGTATTTGGTATATTCACTACTAGACTGGTCATTGTAGTATTTGGTATATTCACTACTAGACTGGTCATTGTAGTATTTGGTATATTCACTACTAGACTGGTCATTGTAGTATTTGGTATATTCACTACTAGACTGGTCATTGTAGTATTTGGTATATTCACTACTAGACTGGTCATCGTAGTATTTGGTATATTCACTACTAGACTGGTCATTGTAGTATTTGGTATATTCACTACTAGACTGGTCATGAGATTGGTTTTCACTACTACTGGTCATGTATTTGGTATATTCACTACTAGACTGGTCATTGTAGTATTTGGTATATTCACTACTAGACTGGTCATTGTAGTATTTGGTATATTCACTACTAGACTGGTCATTGTAGTATTTGGTATATTCACTACTAGACTGGTCATGTAGTATTTGGTATATTCACTACTAGACTGGTCATCGTAGTATTTGGTATATTCACTACTAGACTGGTCATTGTAGTATTTGGTATATTCACTACTAGACTGGTCATTGTAGTATTTGGTATATTCACTACTAGACTGGTCATTGTAGTATTTGGTATATTCACTACTAGACTGGTCATTATAGTATTTGGTATATTCACTACTAGACTGGTCATTGTAGTATTTGGTATATTCACTACTAGACTGGTCATTGTAGTATTTGGTATATTCACTACTAGACTGGTCATTGTAGTATTTGGTATATTCACTACTAGACTGGTCATTGTAGTATTTGGTATATTCACTACTAACTGAGAGTATTGGTATCATCCTGGTATTGTAGTATTTGGTATATTCACTACTAGACTGGTCATTGTAGTATTTGGTATATTCACTACTAGACTGGTCATCACACTCACAGACCGCCCCATGAAATCATAGCAACACGATTGCAAACCACCACGGAACGGTTTGGGTTTGAACCCTTGACTCGCTCGCCAGGTGTTCAAACCCAACCACTTCCGTGGTTTATACACTGGTTTTCACTCTGGCACATTCATGGCATACAGCTCCACTCTTTTAAACGCTAATTTGATTTTTTTTACATATCTCATCGAATTGATACACTTGCAATATCTTCCTGGTGACTGAAGACCCTTTACCATACAAACCAGGAGAGAGAGAATTTCTTTTAGCTCTTAATAAACTCTTGTCTTGCTCTTTCAATAACGTATGTGGCTGTAAGTTTAGATGTAATGATGTAGATAGGAAATTATGTTCTTAAGAAACTTTTCTAAATCATATTGTGATGATCCTAGAGGGATTAGTACCAAATTTACACACGAAAATCACTCCTATGAAAGCAAAAGACTCGGCAGATGCAACATTCCCCGAATGAAAAGCAGGGGCGCCATGAGTAAACTGAGAGACAACACAGTGTCAGGGGCCCAAGACTGTTCAACTGCCTCCCAGTATACATACCTGGAGGTTACCTGGAGGTTATTCCGGGGATCAACGCCCCCGCGGCCCGGTCCATAACCAGGCCTCCCGATGGATCAGGGCCTGATCAACTAGGCTGTTACTGCTGGCCGCACGCAGTCCAACGTACGAGCCACAGCCCGGCTGATCCGGCACTGACTTTAGGTATCTGTCCAGCTCTCTCTTGAAGGCAGCCAGGGGTTTATTGGCAATTCCCCTAATGCTTGATGGGAGGCTGTTGAACAGTTTTGGGCCCCGGACACTTATGGTGTTTTCTCTTAGTGTACCAATGGCGCCCCTACTTTTTATTGGGGGCATTTTGCATCGCCTGCCCAGTCTTTTACTTTCGTAGGGAGTGATTTCTGTGTGCAGATTTGGGACCATTCCTTCCAAGATTTTCCAAGTGTAGATTATGATATATCTCTCCCTCCTGCGTTCCAACGAGTACAAGCCAAGTGCTTCCAAGCGTTCCCAGTAGTTAAGGTGCTTGACAGAACTTATACGTGCAGTAAAGGATCTCTGTACACTCTCTAGATCTGCGATTTCACCTGCTTTGAATAGAGATGTTAATGTACAGCAGTATTCCAGCCTAGAGAGAACAAGTGATTTGAAAAGGATCATCATGGGCTTGGCATCTCTCGTTTTGAAAGTTCTCATTATCCATCCTATCATTTTCTTTGCACGTGCGATCGTGGCACTGTTGTGATCCTTGAAAGTGAGATCCTCAGACATTACTACTCCCAGGTCCCTTACATTATTTTTCCGCTCTATTGTATGGCCAGAGTCAGTAGTATACTCTGTTCTAGTTATTATCTCCTCCAGTTTTCCATAACGGAGTAGTTGGAATTACATAAGGGGGATTACCAATAGACCCCTGGCTGTCTTCAAGAAGGCGCTGAACAGGCACCTAAAGTCAGTACTTGACCAACCGGGCTCTGGTTTGTACGTCGGGTTGCGTGCGGCCAACAATAACAACCTAGTTGATCAGGCCCTGGCCCACCAGGGGGGCCTTGACCCCCGAAACCCTCTCCAAGTACACTCTAGGTATAATATATATATATATATATATATATATATAATATATATATATATATAATTTTTTTTTTTTTTTTTTTTTTTTTTTTTTCAATAAATATAGGGAAGTACCACCTCTATATATATATTATATATATATAATATATATATATATATATATAATATATATATATATATATATATATTAATTTCAGCAAAATTCTTTAAACACAGTACCGAAATAAGTTATTCTAAGATTATTAATTATTATATTATTATTATTATTATTATTATTACGAGGAAGCGCTAAATCACCTGGGTCATACAGTGCCTAGAGATTGGGGAAGCAATTAGGGTTGTCCCAAGGGAAGGAAGAGTAGCACCTGACCACCCTGATGCTGATGGCCTCAGCTCACTGTAGTACATAAAACGTTTGCCAGTGGAACGCAGAGGGACTACACAAGACTCTGATCACGGCCACAGAACACCTGAATTAGATGGATATCTTCACTGGTAAAGACGCTGTATCTATCAGCATCAGAGTCACGAAGACATCTTCGAGATTCTCAGATGGGTTAAGACCCGTGTCAAGACGCAGTTCCTGGCGACTCAGTGAATCATTCACCAGTATGGAGGTATCCACTTAGAAGGCTCTATTATTCGTAAGAAATTTGCAAGGAAACCTTGACACATCCTGTCACCTTGATTTATTTTGAGGTGATCCCTACACAACGTGCTACCTAGATGCTCCGAAAGGTGAAGCCAACACCACGTACGTAGAGTGAAAGGTGAAGCCAACACCACCTACCAAGTCGGTACATTGTGCGCAGTTCCCATACCACCTGTCACCTAGTTACATTGTAAGGCGTTACACTGTACCTAAGACAGTCATACAGGTGCATTGTGTGTGGCTGAGGAAACACTTCTCAAAATACCCAAACCTTCACCATTCGATTGTTTAAATATTTAACATCACTAAGAGTTTAATTTTGCACTGATCATCACTCGTTTTTAAACATCAATAAGGCACCTATTTTCATGAATTTTTACCGTCATGAAATATCTGAATCACCTTCAAGTGGCTAATTACAGATACTTCGTAAAACGTTTATTTACCATTGCTTAATCACGTTTTATAGTGGTTAAGTATAATAAATACCAACTATGGTTTATTTCCATTTCCTGGTAGGGACTTCCTTGGGGATTCGTCCGAGGTCTTGCACAAACTAACCTGACCTCTTTCCCATGGATTCTTCACTTTCATGGTGGCGATGGCATGGTCGGGTATATAAGCGTCACCTCACGGGGAGGTGCCAGTTCCACTCTGAGCTCTCTCACGTCAACATGATCTTGGTAAGGACGAAAAGTTGCTACCAGACCCAAGTATCATCACAAGTGTAACTAGAAGTTATATAATTGTTAGGTCCTCAGCTATTTATTTTGATGCGCTTAAATACTTGGTTTTCTAAGCGCTAACTTCAAATTTCATATTACTGTAATATACGGTCAAGTTAACTACTGAATAATTTTACGGTTATTCTATTAGTTTCTTAAGGGGTGTTAATGTTGCAGTTTAAAAACTGTAGTGTAAAGCACCCTTCTGGCAAGACAGTGATGGAGTGAATGATGGTGAAAGTTTTTCTTTTTCGGGCCACCCTGCCTTGGTGGGAATCGGCCAGTGTGATAATATTAATATTATATATTATATATATATATATATATATATATATATATATATATATATATATATATAATATATATACATAATATATACATATACAATAAGATCACAGTAAACAGGTGATCTCATAATATGCAAAACAAATCAAGGCACATTATCAAGGAACAATAATTGTTCCCTGATAATGTGAGTAGTCACGAAAACGCTTGGAATTTCTCTGTTCTTGCACAGTGGTTGTTTGCTATATATATATATATATATATATATATATATATATATATATATATATATATATATATATATATATATATATATATATAAAGCAGTACATGTGAAACAGATATAAGCCCACGTGTCTTTTTTTTTTATGAAAAAAAAAAATATATATATATTTAGACTTTTCTGTTCACTATTGGCATACACATTTTATGAACCTTACTAAACATTGTCAGTTTGTATATGAAGTATAAAAAATATATTTTCTAGATTACTGAGTAATGGTTGTAAATGTGCACATACATATTGGATTATAATCTAAAGTCTTATTATATATAATATTATTTACGTGCTTTTATACATCAGAATGAAAATTTCAAGTCATATTTATCAGAATTGTTTTATCTTCTTCAGGACACGAGCAGTTTGCTCAGAGATTAGAGCTGCTTTCAGATACTTACAAACATTTATGACCACTTAAAAAAAAATGAAAATATTGGCTAAGAGTTACAAAACTCTTGGAAATCGTCAGTTGATGCAAAGAGGCAATTGTACGGAAAGTAAAATGTTCCTTGTATTTGTTTCTCTCTTCATGCATACCGGGACAGGTTGCAGTATCATTTGCAGCTAGATGTGTATGCTTGATCACACACATATGTCTATATTGCACAACACTTTGAATAGGAGAAAGCACTTATTTGCAGGTAGGAATGGATTCCACTACCATTAAATATAAATTTGAAGCCAAAAAAGTGATTCAATATTTAAAGTATTAATTTTTGTATTGCCTACAGAAAGTGGTATTGTGCGCCATGGTGACTGTTGTAGGAAGTGCAGAACTCCCGTCAGCGTTGTATGGGACACCAAGCAGAGGATCCGGAGGTGTAGGGGTGCCTGGAAGTGTAGGAGGGGTGCCTGGAGGTGTAGGAGGGGTGCCTGGAGGTGTAGGAGGGGTGCCTGGAGGTGTAGGAGGGGTGCCTGGAGGTGTAGGGGGGTTGCCTGGAGGTGGCTTTGGTGGTTCAGCAGTTGGTGGTTTTGGCGGATCAACAGGCTTTGAAAGTTCATCTGGTGGAGGCCACGGAGGTTCAGCTAGTGGCGGCATCGGAGGTTCAGTCGGATCAGCTGGCGGAGGTTTCGGAGGTTCAGTCGGTGGAGGCTTTGGTGGAGCTGGTAGTGGAAGCTCTCCTAGTGGAAGTTACAGCCCTTCAGGTCCTGTAGTCCCCATCTTAATTGATGAGCGTCAGGGACCTGACCAGGCCGGCAACTATAACTTCAATTTTGAGACTGGTGATGGCATCAGTCGTCAAGAGCAGGGCGCCCCCCAGGGCCCAACCGGCGCTGTAGCAGCTCAGGGAGGATGGTCGTAAGTAATCACCGATAACTGTTGAAAATAGCTGGTGAATAAAATGGCAATGTCCTGGAGAGGAATAATTTACATATAAAAACTTTGATAATAACGAATTTAATAACATTATTGTTTGTTTCAGATTTACTTTCCCCGATGGAACTCCTGCTGTTTTCAAGTTCGTAGCAGATGAAGGTGGTTACCGCGTGGAATCTGACCTGCTGCCCACGCCCCATCCTCTTCCCGCCCACGCTATCGCCCAGATCGAGAAGGCTCGTCAGGAAGACGCTGCTGCAGCTGCTGCAGATGGACGTGGATCATACGATGCTTCAGGTTCTGCGTCTCAGTTTACTGGAGCACCTTCTGGAGGCTTCGGTGGTTCACCTGCTGGTGGCTTTGGTGGTTCACCTGCTGGTGGCTTCGGTGGTTCACCTGCTGGTGGCTTCGGTGCTTCACCTGCTGGTGGCTTTGGTGCTTCACCTGCTGGTGGCTTCGGTGCTTCACCTGCTGGTGGCTTCGGTGCTTCACCTGCTGGTGGCCTCGGTGCTTCACCTGCTGGTGGCTTCGGTGCTTCACCTGCTGGTGGCTTCGGTGCTTCACCTGTGGTGGCTTTGGTGCTTCACTGCTGGTGGCTTCGGTGCTTCACCTGCTGGTGGCTTTGGTGCTTCACCTGCTGGTGGCTTCGGTGCTTCGCCTGCTGGTGGCTTCGGTGCTTCGCCTGCTGGTGGCCTCGGTGCTTCACCTGCTGGTGGCCTCGGTGCTTCACCTGCTGGTGGCTTCGGTGCTTCACCTGCTGGTGGCTTCGGTGCTTCACCTGCTGGTAGCTTCGGTGCTTCACCTTCTGGTGGCTTCGGTGCTTCACCTGCTGGTGGCTTCGGTGCTTCACCTGCTGGTGGCTTCGGTGCTACACCTGCTGGTGGCTTCGGTGCTACACCTGCTGGTGTATCTGAAGGTTCCAGTGGCCAAGAATTGACTGCTGGAGCCTCTGTTGTAGCTCCCAGCAGGACCTACGGTGCCCCATGAGCCTCACCACTCGTACTATTGACCCCCTCCCCCCTAGTCCCACTACTGTCATGTCAGCTGAACTTCAAGTTACCACACGGGGTCTGTTTACCTACCACACGGGGTCTGTTTACCTACCACACGGAGTCTGTTTACCTACCACACGGAGTCTGTTTACCTACCACACGGGGTCTATTTATCTGACGTGATGTAGTAAATACGCTTATTACTTTTACTGTTACGGTTATGATTAAAATAAAATACTTAGAAACATACTTTTCTTGAAGATTTTATTCACAAATTTCCATAAAATATTCAAAATGACGTAAGTAAATAATTCTTATAACTAAAAGAATGAAGGAAAATGACCTTGATGGCGGTGAGAGGCTCTTGATGCAAGGAAATGAATTAACCTCATCTTTCTTGGATCGAGCCTGAATGCTTTCCATTTCCCATGCACTCTGTAACCCACGGGTTTAGCGCGCCCCCGTGATTAAAAGATGAATACTTAGGAATAAATACATTATTTTTACTTAAGATATACTCACAAAGTTTTAATTCCGAATGTTGATTCTCATCTTCTTGCTTCTATCTCGTAAGGAATCTTATTTCACCTTCTCCTATAACAGACTTTTTCTCACCTTTCAGTAACTTCATTATTCGCCTTTTTCTCACTCATTATTTACATTTCTAACATTTTGAATGGTAATATCCTGTTACTGGTTTCTCTAAGGCTATATAATGAGTCATTATCCTCACCTCTGAGCCAAGTGTAAATATGGTCACCGGAGTTTCGTTGAAAGAACCATACCGCGGGTTTAAGCCCCACCTGTGGTATGTTTTTTTTTTTAACTAGACTCCGCTGTGACCAGTGGTCACAGCGGTACCTACACTAACCTTCCTATGGTGTATAAATGTACCTAGTTGGATGAATCTTATTGTATGTAGCTGGTCCAGTGGATAACGCGTCGGTCTGGAGTTTTACGACTCTCTGACCGCGGGTTCAAGCCCCAGCCGTGGTACGGTTTGTTTACAATCGCTTCACTACGTTTTCGCGAGTCAAGGATTGCGCTTGTTTAGGTGTCCACTTTATGCCTGTGCTCCAAACAATGAGATGTACCCTGACATGTATCAAATATGAGGTCATAAACGATTTTTTTTGTTGGGATGTTCATGACTTTTTTGACACACCTGTCAGTATAAGCCATCTAAAGTATGACTGTGTACCTCCGTTAATTAGATCAGCATTATATTCGTTTATAGGTCTTTAATTTTTCAGTTTCTGTACCCTAAGCTAGTTTCGCTTTTTTTTCCCTTGACTTTTCCTCAGTTATCGTAAACTACCAAACGCTGGGGTTAAATTCCAGTCACATCAGCCTTTGTACCCTTGTAGTTACTCTAGGTCGCTAACATTATTTCAGTGTGAGTTCTGGTTCCAAGTCATATTAATTCTATATTATCTTTCCTGGTATCTTATTTACATATACTACGAACAGTAATGGTGCCATTGCTTATCCTTGTGAAGCCCAATCGTATTTGAGTTTCGTAGTGCCTTTCCCGTTATTTCATTCTCGCGTGTATGCTCCAGAATGGCCCTGACATACGATGTGTACTGGGCCCTATAGACTATTAGTTGAGGTTTCAAAAGCATTACCAAGGGTACTGTAGAAAATGTGTGCATAAAAAACGCTCCATTTATGTCAGTTTACGGGTTTTGTTCTGAAACCAGACGCGTATTAGTCGTGAAGAGTAGCCAGGACAGGACAGGAACTGGAGAGTTGTGTATGTGTCAGTACTGGAAGAACGGCGGCTGGAACGTCATAAGACTCATGGCCTGGTGTTTGTGTAAGTGGGGGGAGGGAGGTGATTTTGGTTAAGTTTATGCCATACGTTGTTTTAATAATTTTGACTTTTCTGATATTTCCTTTAAGGTTCTAGTGTGTGCAGGTGCCTTGGTAGTGAAGAGTACTGATAATTATGCTGTGCCTGCAGGCTCAGAGGCCGGCAGAAGGATGGGGGTTGTCAGAGCCTCACTGTTTGTGTGTTAATTCGTACCATTGTGTTAGCGAGTTATTGTGTAATAAGGAGAGACTAGGTTGTATGTTGTATATGTAAGTTTACTATTAATATAGTTATGTTTTTGTACAGTTAGTTATGTCCTTCCTTATAATAATACAAGTATTGACCATTTAATTAACTCATTTTTGTGAAGGAACAAGCTTGACGCTAGGTAGGTATAGTGTACCTTAATATTTTAAATGCCCCTAGAAAGGCTTTAACCAGCATTTATTTTTACGTATCGTAATAACTGCGTTACGAAAAGGCAGTTGATGGACTGACTACATCGACTCCAATCTGAGGGACTGATTATCTCAAACTCCTCCCCATCTTCTACCTTTTTCTGTATTCGAGTGAAGAAGCCACTGGTTGGCGAAACGTTTCCAGAATAAAGATACCCGAAATGTTGCATAAGTGTCTCATTAAAATGCTAAACTATTCTGTGTGTGTGTGTGTGTGTGTGTGTGTGTGTGTGTGTGTGTGTGTGTGTGTGTGTGTCTGTCTGTCTGTGTCTGTTTCGTTGTGTTCCTAAGTTGATAAATTTCTTCAATTTCAACTTGTCCGGCCCTCCAAGCAGATAATTTTTCTAATTATTGTAAACTTATCTAAAATATATTTAGTTGGATTAGGCTATATTAAATTGCGCTTTCTATGAAGAAGTTAGGTAAATTTTCCAAGGCTCTTTTGGTAAAAAATTGTTAGTTTTTATATTAACATAAATGAAAAAATATATCTTTAAACGTATAAGAGAAAATTTGACAAAGGACTTAATTTTAAATGAGGTCTTGCTAACTGGCCAATTTTACCTATTCGGTACAATATATATATATATATATATATATATATATATATATATATATATATATATATATATAATATATATATATATATATATATATATATATATATTTCAGCAAACCGGCCGTATCCCACCAAGGCAGGGTGGCCCAAAAAGAAAAACGAAAGTTTCTCTTTTTAAATTTAGTAAATTATACAGGAGAAGGGGTTACTAGCCCCTTGCTCCCGGCATTTTAGTTGCTTCTTAAAACACTCATGGCTTACGGAGGAAGAATTCTGTTCCACTTCCCCATGGAGATAAGAGGAAATAAACAAGAATAAGAACTAGTAAGAAAATAGAAGAAAACTCAGAGGGGTGTATATATATATATATATATGTCGTGCCGAATATGTAAAACTGTTCAATTAACAAGAACTCATTTAAAATTAAGCCCTTTCTAAAATTTTCTCTTATACATTTAAAGATATATTTTTTTTCATTAATGTTCATGTAAAAATTTTTAATTTTGCACCAAAAGAATCTTAGAAAACTTACCTAACCTTATTATAACAAGAGCAATTTATGTTAGCCTAACCCAACTAAATATGTTTTAAATACGTTTACAATAATTTAGTACTAGACAAACACAATCAAATATATTTTTTCCCTTAGGTTCAAAATGATTTTGGCGAAATTATTGCATACACAAATTTTCACTTGTCCTATATGGCAAGATGAGCGTTGCTATTTAAGCCAAGATCGCAAGTTCTGCCTATTCGGCACGACATATATATATATATATATATATATATATATATATATATATATATATATATATATATATATATATATATATATATATGCTTGTACATGTATGTGTAGTATGACCTAAGTGTAAGTAGAAGTAGCAAGACGTACCTGAAATCTCGCATGTGTATGAGACAAAAAAAAGACACCAGCAATCCTACCATCATGTAAAACAATTACAGGCTTTCGTTTTACACTCACTTGGCAGGACGGTAGTACCTCCCTGGGTGGTTGCTGTCTACCAACCTAATACCTACAATATATATATATATATCGATGGGGTCCACCTCTGGTGTAAATTGTGGGACCCATAGCCTCGGAGAAGTGGATAAAAAGGCTTCAAGGAAGAATATTTGGATTTCTTCCTGAAGCCTTTTGAATATTCCACTTCCCCTACCACCCCATCTTTTCATTCTTTTTTACCAATAGGTATATTTTATTACATAATATGGTACAAAAGGTTTAAGAGATACATTGCTGATATAAAGATGGCATATACAGTACATGAGATGTGAGAGATACATGTCTAGTACATGTTGTCATGTGTTTGTCACTGATTATAATGCCAAAATCTCATCCAGCATTCAAGCCCTGAAGTTTGGAACTAAACTGTTTCCAAAACTGAAAGGAGAAAACTTATAAAAGAGGGTCGTATAAAAGAATATAATTCAGTGAAATATGGAGGAAGAAGACATTAGCACTGCGTGCAAGGTAACCGGACTGTATAGAGAAGACCAGACACAGGTTGAAGACAAATGACGCAAAGGCGACAAGTGTTGTTTTGGTTACTTGTCTGTGGCAGTAGAGGACGAAGCAGAAGAGTATACTTCTTTATTATTCTAGTGAGAAAGCCAGGAAGTAGAAATACCGGACATTTTTGAAGTTATGAAACGAGGCAAGGAGCTGAACACAACTCAATGATTACGACTCTAAGACCAGTTGAAGATATCTCAAGGCCTATAGCATGTTCTAACCTCAACTTAAAAAGCCACCTGAACGTACCTCTTCTCTGCATTAAACAAGCACTTCCCTTGAAGAAATCATATCACGAAGCAAAAACAGAGTAATTTTAATTCATATATTCACTTCTTGTGCATTCTTCACTGAGCGAGAGGTGAGGGAGTCGCAGCCTCGCATGCTAGTGGACTGCGGAAGACACACAGAATGACCAATTGAGTATTCAATTCCCACGGCACCTCGCTGACCTTGACACTTGCCTCGAAGTCTCCTTATACACATCCGTTTCATAATTATGTAGGGAAATTAGTAAATGTCTCAGTAAACATCAACTTTGAATAAAAATCATAATGTTTGCTTCTATGTGTTTAGGAGGATAAAAATTAATAAATGATAATAGTTATAAAAAATGCAGAGCTAC